TATGAGGTGGATTGTTTCAGTGACTGGGATAATTGGGATGGGAGTGTCAGAGACAGTGCGATTGGCACAGGACAGAGCGGAGTTTAGGGCTGTTGTGCATAGGGTCGCTATGAGTCGCAAGCAACTCGACGGCACATAACAACAACAACAACTGTTCAGTGTTGGGAGTCCCTCAATGCTTTCTTCATACCCTACCTTTTCATTAATAACACAAGTACATATCTATGGATTCACCGTGCCAGCGTAACTGCCTGATATGAATTGCAACTTTGTCACTTAACAGCAATGCGGCCTTGGGCAACATTTTTACTTCAAGCTTTCATTTCTTCATTTGTATAATGAAAATAATACTGCCTTCTTCACAGTGTGTTGTGATGAAAGATTGAGATAGCCTCTGAATTGTGGCTTAATTAGGGTTGTTTAAGCAGTAACTTGGCAGATCTTAGGGGGGAAACATTAATCTGTACAATTTCCCATCATCTGCTAGGTTTAACCTCCAAGATTACAAAACTAAGCAAAAGATGTAACCATCTCATATTCACTTTATGGCATTATATAAAGCTTTAGTTTTATCTTTGAGATTAGTGATGAGTGAATCTTCTAAAGAATTCTTTCAATAAATAGTTAATGAATGGCATTTGCCCCCTAGAATGAAAATGTGAAGCATATTTTTAGTTTTATAAAGTGTTTAGATCCCTTACACTTTTACTTTGAACACTTGTACTGGATACATGGAATCATAGTGGGTTATACTATTATGACAGAAATTTTTTTAAAAAATTTATCATTAATATTCCATTTGAAGTATCAATATATAATTTCAAAAATAAAATGCAACATTAGGAGCTAAGCCGAAATTCCCCTAAACATAAAATTCTGGTATCAAAATCTTTTAAATATCTATTCTTTCCAAGGACAAGATAAAGAAGAGAAATTGTTGAGGTGTTAATATGGAAGCTAATCTTTTAATATACTGTTTTGCCTGAATAAATAACTAGACAAGACAGAATTTCAAAGACATTTTATTTAACATTCACCATCACAGATAATATATATTTATAAAACAATGTTTACACATGCTTTAATAACTTATTTCACTGTACAACTTGCAGTCTCCTTAATAGTAGAATAAAACCAGCAAAAAAAAAAATCAGTCAGCAATTAAATAAGAATCAACTCTGTTAAAAGCATGATGAGGTGCTATCTGAAGCTTTTTCATGACATGGAACAAATAATGCATTAATTGTTTAGTTCAGTGGGTGTCTAAAAAAACCTAGATGCCTATACCTTTCTTACGTATGCTGTGAAAGGCTACTATAACCTTTCAGAATAGAGTATGTTTTTGGCTAAATTTTGTAGTGATGGCACAGGGGCCCTATCACTTTTATCCCTTTCTTAGAACTATCCTTCTCCCTTTTCTTTTACTTCCAGTTATAAATAAAAGTATTTATTTGCATTTGTGTATGCAATGTCAATGCAGTTCAAACACAGAAATAGGTTAAGCAGTTATTTGATAGCTAGCAAAAAGGTCCAAACACATTAAGAAACTAAAAGAAACAGACCACTTAGTTCGGCCAAAGTAGCACCTGGTAAAGTGGCACTTTAGTAAAACACGTAGGCAAAAATGTAAGAAGATGAGACGTTGTTCTGTAATCCTGGAAGGAAAGAAAAACAGCTTCCTAGTTAGTATCATCTCTAGTGTATGTAACAATGTCAGTCACAATGATTGCCCAATCAGGTACAAGCTCAGACTGCCCAAGAGGAAAAGGACTGCACAGCGGAAACAAAACTTCTTCCATGGAGCCACACTTGCCAACGAGAAAGAAAGGCACAAAAGGTGCACAGTTCAATTTGGCTCAAAAATTAAAAGTTGAGTGGCAATAGTTACTAAACAAAACATCATTTCTTCCACAGAGCTAAATGTTCCAGGATAATTAGCCACAACAAAACAAACACACAAAATAGCCTGGCTGTCGTCCACCATAATCGGGGACTGCACACGCTGATTGCCATTTCTAAACAGACTGGATCCCAAGGACCAAGTCCACAAAACACAGTCTGGTAACAAATTCCAATTCAATTCATCTGCTCGATCAATTTTTCTCTTGCTAGCGCTTGGCCCTTGTTCGAGCTAACCTCCTTTCGGTGCAACAGTAAACGATTCAGGCACATTCACTATCAGTTGATTGCAAATATTTTACAGCAAAATCACAAATCAAAGAGATGGCAAGAATGTCATCTAGTGAAAACCAACGCAGATTTCACTTTGACACATGTAAACCATGAAGCCCAAGTTTTTTTTAAAAAAAAAATCAAAACAACAACAACAAACAGTAGTTGTGGTCAAGTTTATCTCCTATTCCCCTTCTATCTTTAAAAGACAGCAAGAGTTTTCATTATAATTGTAAACATAAGTCTGTATCCCACGAGAGTTCACCGGGGAAAAGAAGCATCCATTCACCACATGCGGCTGACATTCCCTTTTAGATTTGCTGAAGCAACTGTAGTGTACTTGGAACTGCAAGTCCGAATAGGACGCCAGGGGATGACCAGAGAGAAGGACATTTCCCCTGTCACTGAGTTACTTTAAATAGCAGTCATGATTGCAACGAAGTATGATTAACAAGGCGTACATTTAAAAAGTCATTAGAACATCCCGCTCTTGTACACTAGTGTAGAAAGATCTCCCAAAGATGAACGAGTGCAGGCCTGGTTTAATTTTTTCAGCCAGAGCCATTATTATGTTAAGATCGCCCTCTGCTGTTAAATCAAGGTCCACTTTCAGGTTCCGAAGAGATTTAAAGGGCTTTTTCCCCTTCTGCCTGTAAATAACAATAATAATAATGATAATGATAATGATAATAATAATAATAATAATAATAATAATAATAATAATACGTGCATAGGGAACAAAACAAAGCATAATGTATGAGAATTTTTCTCCTCAATCAGCCTTTTTACTTACGTATCATCTTCAATGTATTTTATTAACGTCAAGGCTTTTCTGTGGAGGACAAGTAGAAACTGTGCAAGGAACGTGCTCCTGAGAGATAAACCGGGTTTCAAGTGAAAGACCTGCAGGGAAGTGAACCAATTTTGTAAATAACATTCCTGCATTCTGACAACACAGCACATTCCATCACGGTGTTGATATCGTCTGGCAGATGTGCTCGTCTGAACAACTCCTCAATCATTTCCACTGATGGAAACAGGGGTCTGGAAGCAGTCTGCCAATGCACTCGACTCTTGCAATCGACCTCAACATATATTTACGTTTATTTTAATATTAAAAATCGTGACGGGTGTTACTTCCAGTTGTGTGACCTCACATTTTCTGCCCAACTTGTCAAATCAAATTAAAGTCCCAGAAGGTGAGTGATGTTTATACAATGGTTTTGAGATATTCATATGACATTCTTGTGAGTGCACACAGATGGGCAGAGGTGGGAGGGAGGAAGGATTCGATTTCAGCCTGAAAAGCATGGAATTACAGCACAACAAGTTCTCCTTGAACTCTGCAGCATGTCAAAAAGCACACCGACCCCGGATCCAAAATTTACGGTCAACATAAGGATAAGGATCTCATCATTTCAAAGTTACATCAATAACAGTTCCCTGGCCTGGTCCCCAGAATGGTATTACGACAAGGCTCTAGTAGATTGAGAAGTAAGTCCCATGTAATCTGTAATTTTCTTCAAATATGTAATTAAGTAGACTTTTTCAAAAGAATGAGACAATAAGGATGCTATTATTTAAAAACAAGAGATACTAATTTTTATGAGATATTTTTGTTCAATTAAGGCTAATAAACAACTAAAAAAAAACAACAACAAAAAAAAAAACAAACCCACAAAACCCACAACAAACCCACTGCCATTAAGTCAATTCCAGGTCAAAGCTGGATATGGATAAAATGTAACCAAGTGCTCCCTGGAGTGTAGGCTGCCACCTTGATGGAAGTAAACCTTCACAACTTTCTCCCACAGAGAGGCTGGTAGACTCAGTGGCTGCTGACTGCTCTGCTGGCAGCCAAGGACTTTAACCTGTGCCACTAGGGATCCTAAAAACAAACACCACCCCCCTTCACCCAACATACACAACTCCTTTAGTTACCAGTTAGTGCTTGAAAGAAAAACATTATTAAAAATGGGGAAATGCTGTAACTTTAAATGTTAATATAGAGACCATTAATAAGTCAAATGAAAGGTCTTTTGTATACTTTAAAAAGAACAGAAACACTATGAAAAGATAACATACACTGTGATAACATACATATGCGGGCAGGATATACTAAATCAGAAAATGTGTCATACTATTCATTTTGACAATCTCAGGTCAACATTTACCTGATCTAGGAAGGCTTTTACTAGAGTGTCTCTGTGTAAAACATCTTGAAAAATATTCCTACAAAGAAAAATAAAGGCAAGGTGTTGAAATGGCTAGATAGAACTACTTTCCACAATTCCTCACTGCAACCCTTAAATTCTTAGACTTATTTTATATACAAACATATTTGCTTTAATATATTTGAGTGGTATATATATAAACTTAAAGAAATAAAATGTACATTCCTTTTTAATTCAAGTATAATACAACTTTATATTAGATTAAAATAACTGGACCGTGTATGCATCTTATCATTTTACTCTAAAGAGCAGCAGCACTTCCCAGGAAGGGTACATACATGTGTATCTATTTGCTTTAAGACTCTTTTCTTTTTTTTTTTTTTTTTTGCTTTAAGACACTTAAGAAAATAACTAATAAAAGTTAAGAATTAAGGAAGCCAGCCTTAGGCAATGAATAAATAAAATTACCAGCTATTGCTGAATATAATGTTGTAAAAACAGAGAATAAAGTAACAAACTCACCATCATGACCACTATTAAAGCAAAGCCCCAAAAAAAGAAAAAGCTTAACTTTGCATGTAATTTCTAATAAAAAGGTAGGAACAAAAGAGGCAAAGCGATGAATGTTAAGAAACATTAGGATAGAATTAAGGGACATGCTCAGATAATCATCTGCAACATCAACAGACTTAACCGTCTGGGAAGTAACATGAACCAGCTACCTAAGAAAGCATTAACAGCCTTGATAAGAATCACTGTGAATCCAGGATACAATTCACACTTGGTATCATGTGTGTCTAACACACCACCTACGATACGCGGAAACTAAACGGAATTTACTGCCAGAGGTGGTTCTATAAAGCAGAACTGTCCCAGAGGGCTTAAGCCTGCAAATATTTAAGGCAGTAGTAGACTGCTACATCTTTCCCCAGCAGAAGGCTGGCAAATTCAAACCACCGACTTTTTGCTGTTGCTGTTAGCAGCCAAGGACATTAATCACTATGGCACCAGGGGTCCTCTACCGAAGATGAACAGAAAAACCCAATCCCCCGCCATTAAGGCCATTCTGATTTGTGGCAACCCTCCATGAGGTTTCCGAATTCTGTAAATCTCTACAGGATGCAGCTGCCCATCTTTCTCCAGTGGTGTGGCTGACAGATTTGAACCATCAATGTACAGATTAGCAGCCTAACATTGAGCATCACCCAGGCTCCTTCTACCTAGCACATATTGTGTTATGTTGTTACTAAGGACTTCTGCGTGGGGATCAAACTATAGCTCACCTCCCAGTGGGTTTTCAGAGTCTGTATATTGCACGGGAGGAGACTGTCCTTTCTCCTGAAGAGGAGCTGATGGATTCAAATCATCTGTCTTTGGGTGGGCAGCACAACTCCTCGCCTCTAGGCCACCAGAGCTCCCTACCTAGGACACAGCAGATGCTGAAACAATTTTAAGATTCACGAGTTTTTTTCCTCATTCCTGACTCCTTCCTTTTTTTCTCTTACATTTTTGCTCTCATTGCTACTTTACTGATGAACTTATGGGAATGCTAAACGTGTGATTCAAGTCACAAGGATAATACAGTATTTAATAAGAAGACATTTGGAACTGAAAAGGACTGGAAACACTTGGGACCATAGTTTTAATGCCAGAAGAACAGAGAAAGGCTGAGCACACGTGCAAAAGTAATTAACAGGCCTTCCCATATTTGTGTTTTGGGTGCTGATTATACCAGACTATTGGGGGGCGGAACCTAAGAAGAAGGGAAAATCGGCATCGGTTAGACTGTCTGTCTCATCAGTGGCTGCAGTGGGCTCTGCTAGCATTCCTATGGCCCTGGAAAGAGAATAAGGGTACTTAAGTCCAGTGTTCTGAATATACCTCTTTCACTGAACAAATATCTTGATAAAACTGAACAGGATAAAACAAACCTGACCAAGAAATTTTCCAGTAACTTTTTTCATGTATTAGTTGTGAACGAAATCCTTTTTAAATGTTAAAATGGAGGACATCTTAAGAATAAATAAACAAACAACACTGCTTAAAATGCATTCAGTGAGTCAAGCCGCTGCTGTTGAGTTGGAACCGACTCACAGCTGCCCCTCCAGCCGTGAGTGTCCAGAGGCTGTAAATCGCAGAGAAGTCAGTGGGTTGAAATGGCCCGAGAGGCACGGCCTTTTAGCTGGCACTGCAGCTCTCCAGGGACTCACATAATCTAGTGAGGAAAATGTCATTTTTTTGGACAATTTTATGCCCTGAAAATTTACTTAAGAGATGGAGGGTGGTTGGGGGATAAATTTGAAAGTCATAAGATTATTGTCAAATTAACAAAACAAGAAGAGCTGGTTAAAAACAATATACATATTACACATGTACACCGGCTAAAAGAAGAAACAAAAATACTCAGTGATTGCAAATGCATGTTAAGCTCCCTCAGTTCCTCATCAAAAAAAGCTTCCAACCAATTAGCCATCCAATAAAAGGGGAGCACAAATGAATTTGGACAAGCTCTACACATGTACCAGTAACTAGGATGTGAACACATAACGATCTGGAACTCCATTTTGGGTCAAGTTATTTCCTACTCTAATTCCTCTGAAATCTTTCCAAGACAGCAACAAGAAACACTGCGGAGGTGAGGAAAGACGTCTTACTCAATTCAGTCAGGGACATATGATGTGGGACCTTTTGAACACAGCGTTTTTATTTTATACCTCTGGTAAGCACCTTCTGTGCTGCTAATGATACTCCATGCATCTGTTGGGTCAGCTCACAACTTTTCTTAGACACATAAGACATGTGCCAATCTGACAGTTTCCTTACACACTTCAGACTGGGTGACTATCTCTCACACTGTGTCTCTCACTGCTGTTCAGTCAGGGCTGACTCATGGTTGACCTGCTCTTGGTTGTTTGAAGTGATCACAGAGGCGATTGTCCATATTTCTTTGAAGGAGATGCTGATGGATTCAAAGCACCCGTTAGGCCTTTGGGGCAGCAGCACAACTCCCAAGGGATCACACTTCTAGCACTTTACTGAGTGACTATATGTCACAGTTATTAAGCGCCTTCTATTTGCTAAGCATTATACTAATGCACTTTCAATTGGTTAAGAGCTCTAACATTATACCCCAATTCTTTTGCTGATCTCAGAACTAGTGATTTCTTTTTTAATTTTTTAAAAAAATTTTTATATAAATAAAATTTTTGTTTTATACTGGTTTACTTACGACATTTGAATACACTGTTTTTCACACTGGATCTTTCCCATTTCCTTTACCTACCCCTCCCTTCACCATCAATTTGTGTGACCCTATGATTAGCCACCCCCTACCCCCCATTGTCACCCTCTCCTCCATCCTCCCCCCCTTGGAGCCTCATACATGTTCAACAGTAATAATATAAATACTTATACAGTATTTGTACTTACAGAACTAAGCTAAGAACTAGTGTTTTCTTGGGGGTTTACAATTACAGAATTTAGTATCTTTCTTTTTTCCCCTTACTAGGAGGTCTGGTGGCCTACTGGCAAGAAGCAGCACTAAAACCCAAAGGTACACGGTTCAAGGCCACCAGCTGCTCCACAGGAGAAGGATGGGCAATCTCCTTCCATGTGATTAATTGCCTCTGAAAACCTGCCAAAGGGTCAGCTATGAGTCAGTTCTGACTTGATGACATAGAACAACAGTAAACACAGAATATTATAGTTTATCATCATTATTTTTTTCTATTTAATTTGTTGACTAGATTTTGTGGTAGAAAATGGAAAGCACAATACAAAAAAAAAGTGGGAGAAAACCCCCACTATTTAGACAACTTTTACTTTTATCAAGAGAAAAAAAAAGAAGTATGGAAATGATCAGAAGAAACACAATGTGAATAAAACAAACACACACACAAAACTCAGAAGTACTTCTCTGCTGAGTTAAGAAGCCCAGTGTCTATTATATGCCTAACTATAAACAAGGAGCCCGGGCTGTACTACTGATTACTATTATTCTCAGTATTTAATATAGTGACAGAATTTCAACACATTGTTAGATAAATCCTTAAGTATTTATTATAAGAGCTAATCTAAGCTACCTTAAAGGAAACACAATCATATTAGGAGTTGGTATTTAAAAAAAACGTGCTTGATAGACCAACCTTTCTTTCCCTTTAGACACAGACTTACTTGTTTTCACTCATACATAATTCAGGCTCGTCCTACTGCTTAGCAACAATACCAGCAGGTAGAACATTACGTACAAGTCAGGAGTGAAGCTCTCGTCTGTGTAGATGATCGTGTCCTGGGCCATATCTTCTTCAGAAGTGGCTCTCCAGAACGCTGTCAGCTCCGATCTCATGTATCTCCGCTGATTATAAATATGCTCATGACAGGGTGGCATCTGCTTGACAGTATTGACGTCCACGTCTATGTGAGTGGTGGGGTAAGGGGCGTACATGACTTGCCGGAAGGGAAGCACAAAGCTTCCTGTTGAATCCTGTCATAATGAAAGAAAGAATACTTTTCCGTATATGACAAAACATACACAGAATTATTTTTGAACAGGAGAAAAAAACCCACAAAACAAAAAAAACTGGCAATGATTTGAGTACATACACCTGTCTTTAGGATTTCATGCTAAGATATTATGAATGTGTGCAAAATTTTAGTGACAGCACTGTTTTTTCTTTTTTTAATTTAGTAAATACAATTTTCTAATTATTAAATTTTATTAATTTTAATGAACATTTACAGAGATTTTGGGTTTTCATTCATTCATTGTTG